ATGGCATGTTGAAGTGACCAGAAAAATCTGAATATGGACTGGGTGTTAGACAATATTAAGGAATTACTTTTAACTTTCATAAATCTGATAATGGCTTGTGTTTTTTTAAAGACTTTATTGCTTCAACAAGTTTACTGGAGTATTTATGAGTAAAATAACATGATGACTAGGATTTGTTTGAAAATATACCCCCCAAAATAAAATTAAAAACTACAATAAAATGTGAATATAGATGAAATAAGGTTGGAAAATGGTATTAATGGTTGGAGTTGGATAATGGAGTTGGTAAATATCAGCTCTGGACAGCTGTCAATGACTTTGAGAACAAATTGTTAAAGCTACTGGTAGCTTAAAATTGTTCACAACAAGGATACATGTGCTACAGAAACCAACAAATGCTACCAATAGAAGTTTTTTGTTTTGTTTTTTTAATGGCATACCATTGAAGTTGGGCAGTAGATATACTGGTTTATTATACTTTGATGTTTACTTTTGTGTAAGTTTGAAAACTTTAGTAAGAGTTTTTTTTTTTTGGTAAGTCTATTTTCCCAGACTTCTTAGAACTGAAATTTGATTCTATCTTTGTTTCCAAGTAATTTCACAGCATACTTCCACTGAGGCAGGCAGAGAAATTAAACCACCTCCAAGGCTCCAGAACAAAACCTACATATCGTCACTTTTGTCTTGCCTTTCATCCAGGCTTTTCCTTGGACTATGCTTACTGCCTCACATCCTTCCCCTCTATCTTGGCCCAAATACATTACACTGTGCCAGGAGGACTTCCATGCATGCTCTGCATAGATGCAATTTCTCTGCTATCTGAATTTTTAATTAAAATTAAAATTCCAATTTTTAATGGAAGTGATCACTGAATTCATGTGTATGCCAAGCATCATACTGGGCTCTCTTCAGGTGCATTATCTCATTTAGTTCCCATAGCAATCACCAAAATAAGCTAAATAACTGGATCTTGCCTAATAAGGAAAATGAGCATCAGAGTCATTAGGTGACTTCTCCAGGGTTGCAAAGTTGGTGTCAGTACTAGAACAACCCAAACTGTCAACTTCTGGAGAGAGGTGTGGGCACAGTTGGATCCCAACACAAAGGTCTTGCATGGAAACCTGTTGAGTGAAATGACAATGAAGTGACCAAAAGCCCTGTGTAATCCACATTAAAGATATTTTGCTGTATGCCCTCATTTCTTTTTTCGTCACTTTTCATTACACGGTGCACTTGACCACAATGGATTAACATTTAGAAGCACATTAAAAGTGGCTACCCCTCTTATGCAACTATTACGTTCTCCCCTACCTTAAATTAAGAGGCCACTTTTCTTTAGAAGGACCTCTTCTTGGAGATGATGCAGTGTTTTATACTTAGGGGAGGACCACCTGTACTCTCCTCTGTGGGGGATGCTTCTCTGTAGGGTCATTTTTGCAACACAGTGGCTGAGCACAGACATCCCATATCTGATTTGGTCCTGTGATAGTTATTTCTTTACCACATCCCACCTGGGCCCCTGTAAGCATGTGCACAAGATCTTGGGAACTTTACCACAACATTTAAGTAACTTTCACATCTCTGTAGGAACTAAGAAATAAAAAAGAAATGAATGGAAGAAGACTTGGATGTTATTTGTGTCCTAGTTGAGGGTACTGGGTCCTAGTATTTGCCTTGGATTTGTCCTGAAGCTCTTAGTCTGAAAAAGGCAAAAAAGAGGGGGAGTGTAAATAAATGATGATACCAGGAACTGGTACAATAGCTGGCCCCTAGATAGCTTTCCAGTGATATGGAAACCATACCGACAAAAAATGAGCAACTAAAAAGCCTATAAAAGATGACATCAATTAGAAAATCCAGTAGATGTTCGTGCCTATGCAGAACAAGCGTTGGAAGACTATACGCTAAAATATCATCCTACATATTTCTGAGGTGAACTAAAAGGAGATTTGTTTTTTTGTTTTTTTGTGCATTTCTGATTTCAGTGAATATCTATAGCTTTTATATTATGGAAAAAATAAAAAGGAAAGTAGAGAAGAAAGCACATAATTTCGGGGGCTTTTTCTGAGAGCATTAGATACCAACTTTGATTCCACTTCAGTGTAGACAGGAATAGTGCAACAAAGGCAGATGAAGGTCTTCATTTCCATTCATTCAAAGACCAGAAAAGAGGAGACTCAAGTGTGTCTGTGTTGCTTCAAAAGGGAAGAGCAAGATGTTAGAAGATAAAAGGAGCTGTGTTTTTTGGGGGAGGGGTAAAGGACAGAGAAAACCAGGGTGGTTTGGGTGAATTTCAGAAGCTTCTACATCTGGGCTTTGAAAACACACTGAGAATATGACCTGCCTTCCAGCCCCAGCCTCACACCAGGAGATAGTTCCAGCCTGTGTCCCAGAGACCAAGCTCACCACCTCTGGGAAGACCAGCAGCCACTAGCGTACAGTAGTTTAGACAGCGTGGGTTCCCAGCCTATCCCTGTGATGGCTTCTAGGTATTTCCAGGATTGAGCAGGGTATCTCCAGAAATCAAAAAGAATGGGGAAAAAGGTAAGTATCTACCTCCTTATCCTCCTCTGCTCTATCTGGATGCAGAGAGAAGTCAGGCACACATTGCTCAGGCCAAAACAGTCACCACTTTCCACACCTTCAAAGTTATCAAAGATTGGTGAGGAAACCATGATTTTTTTTTCTGTAAGATATTGTAGGAGGAACAGCCATCAAGGAAAAATGAAGAACCCTGCACATTCAAGTGATAAATGTGATCCCTGGGAAAGCTGAGCGGCTGATCACAGTTATCCTGGGGAGGAGTCCTCCTGAGTACCTCCTGACAGAAAGTGACACACTCATAAGTTACTGCAGGCATTAGGAGGCACAGGGCTCAGTGCCATCGAAAAATGGAAGAGAAAAGGGAAAAAATAACAAGCCAACAATTTGGTGTAATGGGACTGCCCACAGCATGTGGATAGCTTTGTGTTTCTATATGGAAAAGCCCACAAAGGGTAGTGTTTTCTAGAGACACATCTGGGACTTTTTCATTTAGGAATTATACTGAAGAATTAATTTTAATCTGGGCACCTTGCACTGGCCAGAAGTTTCCTAGACTTTGCTGCCTTAGGTACAGGTATCTTGGGAAGTGAAAAATCAACACTGATGCTTCCAGCTTGAAAGGGACCACACGTGCGTGGGATAAAGTGGAAGCAGGGAACAGAGGTAGAGTTGGGCTGCATGGAAATGGCCTTTATTGATCCTTCCTTCAAAAGTAATGGACAAACTTTAAATCTTTTCAACTTACCCTCTGCTTACTACTTCACTTTAAAATCTACTATTCAACAAAAGAAACACGGAGAGAATATAATTACCTCTGAAAGAAGCCATACCTAACACACACGCACGCATGCACATAGCCTCTCTCCCTCCTTCTTTCTCACGCTCACACAAACAAGACTCACATGTTCATCTTCCATAAACTGTTTCTCCACCATGTACCTTTCCAATAAGCAAAACAGTATAACACAAAGCCTTCTTTTTTCTTTTTAAAGTAAAATTTCACGTAAAAGAAAATGTGTAGAGGAGATGGCACTGTACAAGTATGTGAGTGGGGATGTGTAGGTGAGCAGGGGGTGGGTAAGTGCTGATTTCCTTTGACCTTTGTCTCACATTCCCTTTGCTTTGCAGGAAGTTTGTATAAATATGTGAAGAGGTTCTTTAGTTATCAGCTTTCAGTGACTGGCAAAAGGCTAACTGGTTATCTATTTCTAAATCCTCAGTCCACGTCCGACAGAAGGACCGGCGAGCTGTGATGAAAACACTCCATGCTGGAACATGAATCTATTTTCCACTCTCACTGATGGTCCTTGATTTTGTTAATCTCCTCCTCCAGGCTTTCACTGTCCACTACTTGTGCCTGTTCCCATTCTCCCTGTGACATGGAGCACGAGGCATGAGGAACTGGGTCCTCAGCTTCCTTAGAGGTGACAGGGTACTCAGGAGAGGTAACCCACAAACAGAAGGGTATTGAGGGCACAGTGGACTCATGGATGTGAGGCACATTAAAAGAACAAAACATTCAAAACATATGGAACTCTTGTTATTACAGAATTGCTCACTTTGCTCAAACAGAATTTCATTGCCATCACCTGAGATATGTATCCCCTCAAAGGCAAGGTACTGTGGAATGGTAAGGCAGACCTGCCTTGGGAGTTACAGCAAGTTTCATATGGAAAGGGAGCATAGACTGAGCACTGCAGCCATCACTCATGGGTTTGCCTTTCTCTGTTCTGTCTACACTGAGATCTATTAGAGATACCTGGGGTGTCTGCATATAGTGTGTGTACGTGTGTGTGTGTGTGTGTGTGTGTGTGTGTACATTCAAGCACAGTTACTCCCCTTCCAGAGACAGAGAGGATGATTTCTTATCTTTACCCCTGTCCAGCAGGTCCCCACAAAGCCTTTGTCTGCACCCTTTTTAGGTTTGCCCATGGAAACAGCCCTATGGCCAGAGATAACAGCAACTAACTCCCTAATCAAAATCAGTAAAACTAAACCATCTGCCTCTGCGGAAATCAGAGATTAACCTGCCCACCATGACTACATAACTGCATGACTACAAAGCTTGCGCACATGAAGACTGCAGGAACGTGAACATCCTGGCCAAAAAGGGAGAGAGACAGAGGAGAACACCAACTCCATCTCACCCTCATTCCCTTTCCTAAGTCCAATAACCACCCAATATTCCAAGCATCTTGACCTAGATTTTTAAAATTATAACACATTAAGACAGAAAAAAAAAAACCAGAAAGAAGTTGTGTTTGTCAGTGATTGGATGAAAGAGTACCTGAAGGAGAGAGCAACTACCGGGTCACTGCGATGATCAATACTTGAAGTTAGAGAAGCTAGAGATCCAAGCGGAAAGTTTCTCTCCTGGTGTCAAGTTCATTTGCTCACACCCAAATTACAGAACAATTTACACTCTTAAATCTTCTAAACCCATCAGGGCCACTCACCTGTGGCTGAAATCCTTTGAGGTCACTGGCTGCAAGGTCACTGGCTGTGTGGAGCTGGAAAAGAACAAAGGCATTTTCCTTAGTAATACTTCTCAAAGTTTGCATACAGCATCCCCAAGACAACCAACCTGCTGTGGACTCACCAGAGCCTGGATCAGAGCTCAGGAAGCACAATCACGACAGGGAAATGTGACATTTCTGGCCCCGGAATCCAGCTTTCCCACTGGATCCACTGCCTCTGACTTCCTCCCCACCACACACACACCTTGGCTGCCCTCTCTGATCTTCCACGCACCACCAGTTCTCCAACTGCCCCGGAATCCAGCTTTCCCACTGGATCCACTGCCTCTGACTTCCTCCCCACCACACACACACACCTTGGCTGCCCTCTCTGATCTTCCATGCACCACCAGTTCTCCAAAAGGTCTTAAATTAAAGGTCATGGGCTAAGACTGTGCTTTAAGAGGTACACTGGCTCCCAGAGATTACAGTTATGTGTGAATTTATGGATATGTACATTTCCTTGGGGCAAGAGTTTCTCGATTTCTTCCTACTGGTAAAGCAGTCTGTAATACAAGTTAAGAATTACTGTTTTAGAGATAGTTAAAGACCCATCTTCTCAAGGAGAACTTTTTTATTTTGCTTTTTAAAAATCAGAGTAGTAAAAGCGATCTTTTCCTCTTTCTTCTATGTGACTCAGTTTCTCTGCCGTGTTGCCTATGATTTTATGAGCTATTTGGGTTTTCTTAGCTCACATTTCAAACAGTCATATAGAACATTAGATTAGGATGAGGAAGACATGTATTTTTGCACCTCTGCGTAGTCAACGCTAAAGTGTTAAAGTTCTAGAGTTTGAATATTTTTACATCTTCCTCAGGGCCCAGAACTACAAAACACTCAGTAAAAGCAAATGATTATTTAATAATTACATTCTTTATTGTTGCTTTCAAATGCTGAGAAGGACAGGAGTATGAGGAGAAAAAGAGAAGATGCTTATTTTGATTCAAGGAGAGTGATGGCTAGCTTTGTTAGACCTGGAGAGCGTTTGTGAAAAATAGGAAAGATTTTATGTTTTCTGTAACAATATTTTGCTTGGTTCAAGAAAAAGAAGGAGTCGTGCTGGGCTCCAGTGCCTCCAGCCTCAGGAAAAGCTCCACACGACGTTTTAGCTTCTCTGAACGACTCTGCCAAAAATGCTGCCTAAGTGTTAGAGCTGGGATAGTTCTCTTCCCTCATCTAACTCTGCCTGTGAGCTGGATTATCCATCTTGGTAAAGAGCCATTTTGGCTCTTCTGGTTGTACTGAGTCAGCCAAGCAACAGCTCGCAAGGCCACTTGCCTAGGCACTGAAGGCCAAACGATAATCATAAGACCCAGTCTCTTCCTTCAAGGAACCTATAATTTGGTCAAAGTTCAGACATGTACCCATTATTTCAAGTGGTGCATAGTGGAGTATGTGTGTCAAAGTTTAAAGATGACGCATGGGAGGTCAGAGTGGGATTGTTGAAATGGCATGAAATTTGAACTAGCCCTAAGAATGAAAATGTGGCTAATGAAGGGCTTCATGTGGGAGCAGATAAAAGAACAAAGGCAGAGAGAGACAGAGAGACTTTCTAACCCCAAAACTTCTCTGTCTGCATCTATCCAAGGCCAACTACAGTCCCCTTTAGGACAAAGGCAGGGAATTGTGATAAACACAGGATTGCCTGTGAGTCCCTGGTTGCTGCTTTGTACTGTGCAACTCCTTTCTGAGATAGAAAATATCTCCACTTTATATATGAGAAAACTGAGATTTACAGAAATGGAATAGCATATTCTAGGTCTTACTGATAGGATTTAATCACAAGCTGTAGTTTCTCAAAGCTGAGGCTTTTTCTTCCATAATAAGATGCACCGAATTAAGGCACATTGGAAATCAGCCATGGGGATGTGGCATAGAAGCAAGGCTGAGTTCAGAAGAGTAGTCAAGTGACCCACAGACAGTAACATGATGCTTGCGTCCTGATGGATGACCCTTAACTAACCCTTCCTCTCAGACACTCTTATTTAATTGTTAACGGCCATCCACTCTTCTGATTTTGTCAATACAACCTAAGATGCTCATTTGAGCTGGGAACAAAGGGAGGAGACACAGAAAGGCTAGATAGGGTGAGGTATGGCACAGGCAAAACCTTTGCAGGCCTTGAGTCACCAACAAGAGTTCACTTATAGGAATCAGAGCCCAATGACTCCAATCTCCCAGCAGAGAGCCTAAGAAGATCAAGTCTAACAAAACACATCATCTTATGTAAATTCTGCATTTCTTTTTTGTGTTGAGTAGCATCTGGACATACAGTTAGTCACTAAACAACCTGTTGGTCAAATGACATGAAAGGGAGTGGAAAATATTGTCAACCCCAAGGTGAGGACAAGAATGACTAAATTGTGGAGTGTGGAGAAGTGTGAGAGGCAGCTTAAGACACCCTTCAAGCCGACAAAAGGAAATGGCCCTCGGCACATAGCACTTTTCCTGTGTGAAGGAGGCACTCCAATGTTTGAATGAATTAATCATCTCCTGTGATGAGAAAAAGCTCTTCTCTATATGCTACTGACTTTGGAGAGAGTATTGGTTTATACTTTAGTATGGGAGTCAGAGGTTAAATTTAGAGAAGCACAGTAGGAAAGTGAAAGTGGCTAAAGAGTGAAAGAATCCACTGCCAGCCAGAGAGAGAGGCCCTCTCTTTCCTGCAGGTTCAGTGGGTTCATCCCAGGTGAGGCACGTTAGCTCAACTGCTGCTCAGTGAAAGGATTCATGGGGTCAGTGTCAGGCAATCATGCAACTTCTGAGTTACTGTACCTTGGAGGTTGTGATTCTATTAATTAATTAAAGATTTTATAATGAAGAATTGAGCCTAGGACCTTGTGCAAGCAAGTGATCTACCACTAAGCTTACCCCTTGGAGATCTTGAATATTTCATTCAAAATGTAGTGTACATGGAAGGTGTTATCTGACCTGGAAACAGTCAAAGGCAAGCCTTCCAATCTCTGAGTCCTGAAAGAACAGTTTAAAGAAGGCTATCTTTCCTCACCATCATGCCATAGTTCCTTCATTCTAACCATGTCCTAACCAAATTCAGGAGCTCTGGGCAAAGCACAGCCCTTGACCATTAACACTCCCCAATATGGATGATTTCCTAGCAGTTTACACATCCTGTACCCAGGAAACAAGAAAGGGATCTTAAGTGTGGTGCTCAGATGTTGATTAGAGAAATGCAGGACAAGCAAGTCTCCTTGTATTTAAAATTACAGAACACCTAAACAAGACTCCTCAAAAGAGTTCTAGTCTTACAGTTTTAGGACCTGAAAAAGGCAGCTAAAGATCCCTGAGAGAAATGAGGATATCACTGTGTCCCCAATAGGTAACTCTTACTCTGCAGAAAAAGAAGCTGTGAAGTTTTCAAGGTCACATTGCTGACTTGCAGTGGGACTCAGTGGTCTCTGAAAACCCAGCGACTGTGCAGAAGCCTCAGTTAGTAACCGTCTCTGTCCAATTCAACTGTAGGTGGGAGAGAAATGCTGAGGAATTTGGTGGAAATCGAGGCAGCTAAGAATAGATAAGCCTGTTCCTTCTCAAAGCCATTGACTTAAAAAACACACACATAGTTCCAGATCCCTTCCAGTGTCCCCTCCCACTAGGCCTGATCCCCATTTGGTCCCATTAGGAAACAGTAGTTCACTGCCTTTGGATGTGCAGGGAGAGAGAGAGAGAGAGAGAGAGAGGAAAATGAAATCCAGCATGGCTCCAGGGACTTCAATCAGGCTGAAGTTAATGAAAAAGATCCTGCCTTTTCCCAGGATGGCTAAATGTCTGTACCACTCCCTGGTATAGGGCTGAGAGGGTATGGAGGGAGAAGGAAAGACAGAATTACATTTAAAAGGCAAAGGAAGGGAAAATTCTTTCATCTTCCTGGTGGAGCAGGGCAGTGTTGCTGGCTGCTTTGACCAATCTCATTCCTGACACGTCTTGCTACTCTCTGGAACAGTCCACTTTCAGATATTAGAAGGATGACCCTGCCTTTAATTTTTGAAGAGCTGCAGTTTCTCTCTAAGCATAAATTCAAGTGTTTTTGGTCTCTCCAAGCTCAAAGGGAGGGCTGGAGGAAGGTAAAGGGAGTTGTGGAAACTCATGGCACATGAGGACAAATCCCTTCAGCTTCCCCAAGCAAGATATTCTGTTCTCTTGTTCTATCTGCTTTCTGAATGGGAGTCTTCCTTGGCTTCTTCAGTGAAAAGCGCCCACCATGCAGTGGTAGCTAACCACCCCTGGTGACCATCTTGGGCCTAGGACAACCTCTCTTACAGCAAACGTCATAGCTTCTAAACAGTCCCCACAGGAACAGAAGGAAGGAAGGATGCTATTTTCTCCCTCTTTCTTCTTGCCCTAGAGTAATCATTCACCTCTGCTGGCCAATAATCAGATATGCCTGCTACACCAGGGTAGAGAAGGACCCAACATATTTCCACATATTCATCAGGCTGACACCATACACTTGTGTCTGGGAAGGGCTTACTGACATGATCAGGAATAAGGACATGTGCCATGCTGGATATCTGGCCAGAAGGGCTTCAGCTCACAGATGTGCATCTGGACAAACTGAAGCCTGAGGTCCTTGGGACTCTCCACATCCTTTACCCTTCCCCTGCATTTCCTCCCTTCTGGGCCAGATAAAGAGATGTTAGCATGGGAAATGGATGGACAGGTTGGTAGGTAGGTAAAGAATGGGGCAAAGAAGAAGAACAGGTGAACCAAGTTCAAATTTGCCCCCAAAGGTACCCTCCTTTCATTGATGTCTTCCATGTCACCTCCCATATTTTTAGTGTTTTATTTTCCTATTTTGCATGAAATAGATCCTCCACTTCCTTTTATTTTGTGCAGTGCCATCTGCTGTTAACTTTGGCTGTAAGACAGAGGCTAACACCACCCTAATCCAATTCCTCAACCCACAGAGTTTAGAGCAGCCTATGTGGTAGGCACGACTCCCACAAACAGATAAACATTCAATAAGGACGAGGCTT